TCTTTCCCTTTTGCAAAATGAAAATCTCAATGAAAGACTAAGCATTATACCTAACGTATGAAGATTACAAGGTACAAAAGATACATAGTTCAATGGGATAACAGAACATTCTCCTAAGAACTAAAGATAAAAATTCTTACCTAAAAGATTGTCCAATGTGAAAAGAAAGACACCATCATCTGTGTGACAAATGCTTATACGAGTTCTTTTTTAAAAATACTTAGTTCTGGGACCAGCAATTAGTGTAATGGCTATGTTGCTGGACTTCCATGTAGTCGACCGCGGTTCGTGTCCTGGACCCGGTAGCTTAAACTCAGGCCGAGCGCATGTGGGTACGCACCCAAGATCCCTAGAGGAGAATGGAGGAGAAGGGATTGAGGCATAGCCATCCCCCCTGGGGGGTGATTTCTTGGTTTCTGTCTCTATGTCTCTGTCTGTCTGGCGAGCGTGCGTGCCCTATAGCAAAAACCTTTCCAAAAAACAAAACCAAGCCAAACAATTTAGTTCTTTTCTATTAGAGTTACTAGAACTAGACTAGATCTTACAAGTTCATCTGATCACATCTCTTTTTCTTTGGAGGGGAGGGGGTAAATGCCCAATTACTTTCAGTCATCATGACCTGTGCAAAGCTAGGTGTTACAAGTAGGCCAGGCCTGACTAGGCAGAGTCTGAGGCTGATTTTTCCTATCTGATGCACAAGAAATTGCTTCATGAAAATATGGGGATTCTGTGCTTCTTGCTGTGTTACCTTATTTTGTTCCTAGTGTCATTGGGACTAGTTTAAAAATAGCCTGCGACAAAAATGTTCCCATCACCAGCCTCCCTTTCCGCCTCTCTTTTTCTGTTGCTGCTGCTTTTTTTGTGGCTGGAGCCCCTGCAGCCTTCTGGTGTCTCTGGGGTATGATGTTACTGGTGGAGGCAGGGACAGTCGCTGCACTGCAAGGCCTCGGGAAGGTAGGTGGGCTGCTCACAGTTTTACCAGCATCCACTTGAGATGAAGCACCTGTAGCTGCTCCCTGGGCCCCTTTTCCAATCTGATTGCCTGGTTCAGCTGGCCTTGTCCTATCAGTGCACACGCAGCATTATAGCACAGTTCGTGTGTGCCTTCTCGGAGGCCCAGGTTCTCTGGAACCACTTTTTCCCAGTTGCTTTAAGCGGCAACAACTGCTGGAAGGTTTGTTTTTCTCTCCTCATCATAAACATCCTGGGAGTTTTGGACGAGATCTCTCTAAACATCTAAGCATTCATCATAACATTCCCAACAGTATAGCACTTGTCCACAGAGCTCCTCTAGCTTGTCTGTCTGCTGGCTGGAACTTTCTCTTGTCCTCAAGGCATTCACAACTCTGTTCAGCCGGTTCTCACAATATGCCTTCTCAGAGGAGAGAGTTGTTGGCCAACCCTTTGGTGTATTAATGACTTGCAAGGCTTCCTTGAAACTTCCATTCTGGATAAGACATACCACTTTACAGTGCAGGGTGGCGACATCATCCTTGTTGATCCGCAGTAACTTGTTGACCATTTTGACAGTGCATATAAAGTCGCTGTTCTGGCCATATAGGTTCACTTCGCTCCACAGCGCAGGCACTGAACCCCCCACATCCCAACCTCCCCCACCTCCCCGCCTCCACTTGCCGTCTTGAAAGAGATGAGGGGAGGGGCAGGGCGACCTCTCAATCGTATCTCCTTTTACAGATGAGAGATACATGTTTACTATCACATCCAGTGGCCTTGTTCTTTTTGGCCAAGGATATAGGCACCCTCGGAAGGCCTCAGCAGGGCCAGTGGTAGTGGCACACTCAGCGATGCTGGGGCCATAAGGGAAAGTCCTGGGTTCCCATCTCGAGGTTTTCCTGTGTACACCTGCGTCCATGATCCTGGCCACCCATGGGGAGAATCATGCCATGAAGACCCTATTGGAGATCCCCTCTCTCATTCCCTTGCTAATGAAAGACATAAGTAAACTTAAGAAGGAAAAAACACCATAGCAAACCTTTGTTGAGCTTCAAACCAGGCACGGTTTCTCATGCAGTGCGGCCCACAGTGAGAACTGAAGCTGCTCTTTCCTCACAGGAGGACTCCGCTGCCCCTGCAGTGCTGAGCCAGGTCTCCCCACCTGCATGTGCTGCTGTGCTCCTTGTTTACACAGCAGTCCTTGGGGAAGCCAGCCCAGCATCACAATGGCAAAACACCTGAACATTAGCAGCTTCCTTTCATTTATTTATCTGCTTCAGTTTTTAGGAATAGGGCACATGTGCTTGCCTGAGAGAGATGGAGAGGGAGAGAGAAAAAATGAGAAATCACCCTCCAGGAGGAATGGCCATGCTGCAATCCCTTCTCTATTTTTTTTTTTTGGAGAGGTTTTTGCTATATGGCACGTATGCTCGCCAGACAGAGAGAGAGAGAGAGAGAGAGAGAGAGAGAGACAGAAAGCGAGAAATCACCCCCCAGGGGGGATGGCCACACCACAATCCCTTCTCCTCCATTCTCCTCTTGGGATCTTGGGCACACACGCACACGCGCCCGGCATGAGTTTTAAGTCACCAGGTCCAGGACATGAACCGCGGTCGACTACATGGGAGTCCAGTGACATAGCCATTACACTAACTGCTGGTCCCGTCACCCTTCTCCATTTTTCTCTGGGATTTTGGGCATGCACGCAGACACGCCAGGCCTGCACCTCTCAAGTTGCCAATTCTAGGAATCGAACCGTGCAGTCAGCCCTGTGGGATCCAGCACCTCAACCACCATGCCCTGCTGGCCCTAATATCTAGCTCTGACTAGTGCAGTGTCTTTCCATCAGCTCATGGCTGCCCTGGAATGGAGAACGTCAGCAGGTTATTTTGGAAACGCCACATATATACATTCTCACAACCCCCAAAAGACTGTCTTAGTTTTAAAATAATAATAAAAGCCCACTCAACTGGGAGACTGTGTACATTCTAATGGGGCAGGACACCTGAGGGCTCACCTAAACTTAGTCTCCAGGTGGACGATCTGGGCTGGATTGCCGCATGTCCCTGGCTTCTGTTCTCTGTTCTACAGAATAATGATCTTCTCTGTCCTGACATTCCATGATGTTTTTCAAAACAATCTACAAAGTGTAATTATAGAGGCATAAATCTGATTTCTTTAAAATTATGAAAGCAAATTCATTCTTTTAGACATCATATTCTGTGTAAGTAATTGTGAGATTGAACAGCCCCTGTCATGCATTTCTTTGGTGACTGAACATATGGCCCAGTGATATTTTCTTTTTTTTTTTTTAAAGAATTATTTATTTAATTTTATTTATTTTTTTTTTTTCAATTTGACCAGAGAGACACAGAGAGAAGGAAAGTGAAAAAGCAAGTCGCCAGTTCTGGGACTCAAACTGCGATCAGCTATATAAGAATCCAGTGCCTTAACCACCACACTACCTGCTGACCCCTAGAGTTATTTTCTCAAGACATCCATGGGGGTTGGCAGGTGGTGTGGTGGTTGAGGGCACTGGACTCTCATGTGGCCGACCGCGGTTCAAGTCTTGGACCTGGTGGCTTGCTTTCTCGCTTTCTCTCTCTCTCTCGCTCTCTCATTCTGTCCCTCTGTGATCAAATTAAAATAAATAAAGTTGAATAAAATAATTTTAAAAAAAGACATCCTCAATCAAATCAGCATCCCAGGATCTCCCGTTACTCAATAGATAAGTGCCAATTTTATAAATCAACAACATTCCACAAAATGTTCAAAGGATGCTAAGAATTTATTTTCCATTTCTTATTTTATTTTTCATTCTTATTGGTCTAATCATTTCATAATCATTTAGCTAGATGGTTGGCATAATCATTTCATCATCCTTTTAGGTATAAAAATGAAGCCATGGTTTAAAGCTGAAGAAAGCTCTCTATTTTTGTCATTCTAATTTCAGGAGAAAAGAGTAAGATTTAGAGTCCTGTGACTTCTTATGCAATTGATTCACTCAGGAATGTCAAGTTTATCACTTATAACACCACACAACACTTGCCACTCATTCTGTAGTCTTTTCAAATAAATTGTAGAATTCTTAAGTGCAGAAGAGCAAGCTTCATTCTTCGGGGGTTTGTTTTAAACAGGCAACAGTTCTGGCCTGCTGTCCCTCCTCCCTCTCTGCAGCTGTGGGGACCATGGATGGCTCCATCCACTTCCTCAGCCTACACAACGCAGAGTCCCCGCAGGTCATTCACAAGGCCTTCCTCTCTGAATCGCCTGTTCAGCACCTCATGTAAGTAGCTCTTGCTCCTGGCAGCAGGTTGTGGCAGGCCTGTCTGTGGAAAATTCCTCCAAAGTCGTTGCTTCTTTTAATTTTCAGCTGTACACACTTCATTGATCTTGAATACTAATATGCTCACTCTGTTCAGCATTCAAAAAGTACAGAGATGTATGCAGTGAGGTCTCCCACCTTTATCCTTCAAACACCCGGTTCTCCTGTAGGTAACCTCCGACCAATTTCTTGCATCTCTTTCCAGAGACATTTTATCCATAGACAAGTGATAAGACAACCCCTTCCTTACACACACACACACACACACACACACACACACACATACACACACACTCATTGACTTCAAAAGGTTTTTGGGAAACAGAAGTAAAGTACAAGTTTATTTTGGTGTCAAACATTTTGAAATCCACACGTGATTTACTACTCATAAGAATTTTCCACCAACTTTTGAAGATTCTTCATATGACTAAGTTACAGGGTGCCAGACACTCCCATTGTATTAACTTCCTGAAGTAAATACTTTCATTTTCTCTGTTTTATAGATGAAAAAGACAAGGCACGAAGTTTAAATAACTCCCTCAATATTGCACAGATCGTAAATGGCTAGTGTCAGATGTGAGCCCACGCAGTTGCTCTAAAAGGGAGCGAACCATGTACAATGATTCTGCACCAAAAAAGCTCTTCTGGTGTATCTGATTCACTTAGGGTGTAACAGTTGCCCATCTTTACTGAATCTTGCTGACTGTGTACTTACAAATTGCAAGTATACTCCTTTGACCTAGAGTATAACCATTATCTTGACATGGAATCACTCAGCTTTTTACGGTCAGAGAATATGCAAAATCACAAACCCTTAATATGAGCTGTTTTGTACTTATTTCCATGGTTGTTCAATAAAGTTGTTTATCACCTAACTGATAAAATAAGTAGCGTCTGATAGTCACGTTTCTTCTTTTCTAGTTATGACCAGCGAGGACTGTATCTGTTAGCCGGAACATCAGAAGGAAATATTTTTATTATCAATGCGAATCCTTCAAGCTTATTTCAGATTCTTGGGTTCACAGGTATAACACAGAATGTTTATTAATTTAAAGTATTAATTGCTTGATTCCAAAGAATTTAAGGGTGTAACAATGGAGCTATAGTGAAATAACGGCATATTCTATAAAAGAGAAACATTTAAATAACTGTTCAAAGTTATTTAAAATAATTCACAAATTATGCTTAGAGATATTCAAGTTATCTGTTTGGTACACAGTCAATGCTAAATTAATTGAATTAATTCATAAATTAATTAATAAAATGACCAAACATTATAATGTTACTACAAGAGGAAGTTGGGGTAGTTTCTCCCTGTATTTTTTTAAGAGATAGATTTTTTGCTATAGGGCACATGCACTCACTGGAGAGACAGAAAGAGAGAAAAAGAAAGAAAGAAATCAACCCCAAGGGGGATGGCCACATTGCAATCCCTTCTCCTCCATTCTCCTCTAGGAATTTTGGACACACACGTACATGCACCCAGTGTGAGTTCCAAGCTGCAGGGTCCAGGACTCAAACCATGGTTGACCATGTGGGAGTCCAGTGTCCTGACCACTACGCCACCTGCTGGCACCCCCTGAAATTAAAAAAAGAAAAATCTGATTTCTATTTAATAAAGAGCTAGTTCTTTTCTCTCTGGCTTTAAGAACCAAATATAAATGCATATTTTCACAAAAATACAGTTTTTATCCATACATTTATTTATCCCCGGGGGGATGGCCATGCTGCAAGCCCCTCTCCATTCACCTCTCAGGATCTTGGGCACACACGCACATATGCCCGGTGTGAGAGTTTAAGCCACCAGGTCCGGGACTCAAACTGTGGTCGACTACATGATTGTCCAGCGATATAGCCATTATGCCAACTGCTGGTCCCTCTATACAATTATTTCTAAAAATTACTGAATGCTTACTGGATGCAAAACGCTGAACTTGTATAGTATCAGAGGGAGAAGCAATTAATTCTGCTAGGTGTGAGGAAAGGAGCAGAGGCCAGTGTGGGCACAGGTAAGGGGGCACAGAAAATCCCAAAAGGTGGGATCAGGAGATAGCAGAATGGTTACGTCGCTGGACTCCACATGGTTGACTGTAGTTCAAGTCCTGGGCCCAGAGGCTTGAAACTCATGCTGGGTGTGTGTGTGTGCATGCCCAAAATCCCAAGAGGAGAATAGAGGAGATGGGATTGTGGCATGGCCATCTCCCTTAGGGGGTGATTTCTTGTTTTCTGTTGCTTTGTCTCTCTCTGTCTCTCCAGTGAGCACACATGCATTATAGCAAAAAAAATTCTCAAAAAAAAAAAAAAAAAGGCAAAAGAAAAGAAAATACTGAAAGGAAACTGGAGAAGAAGGGATTGCAGCATTGCCATGCTCCCTGGAGGGTGACTTCTCACTTTCTCTCTCTCTGTCTCTCTGGCAAGTACATGTGTCCTATAGCAAAATTCTCTCTAATTAAAAAAAAAGAAGAAAAAGAAAGAGAAGAAGAAGATACAGAGATTTCTGATAATTAAAATAGTGGGACTGAAGGATTCTCATAGGTGCAGGATGGGGCACATTAGCATTCCAGCTCAAGATAGACGTCTGAGCAAATGCTGTTGGAATGGTAACAAGCCTGGTGTAACAGAAGGTTGCCACAGCAAGATGGCCAATGGCAATGTCTGAAAGATGATGAGGGTCTTGGATCCCATTCCAAGGAGTCTAGAATTTGTTCTGTGGTTAAAGAGACATCACCAGAGGTTTTGAGATGGAACTGACCTGATTCGACTTGGTTTTTAGAGGACAACTTTGGTACTGCTGTGAAGGATAGAGCAGAAAGGCAAGAGAATAGAATGAAAATGGTGAATAGGAAGCTGTAATAGTAGCCAAGGCAAGAGATGGTGATAATTATAACCATAACAACGGCCAGCATTTACTGAGGGATGTCTTACTCTACGACAGCTAGTGTGCTAAGCCCTTGGCATATGTTAACTCATTTCATCTTTAGCTTTTATGAAGTAGCTACTATTACCCTATTTTATAGGTAAGGCAATGAAGCAAATGAGGTTAAATATTTGTTCAAAGTCATGCAGCTAGTTAGTGGCAGAGCCAAGACTCAAACTCAGGAATATGCAAATTCATGCAGAATCGTGGAAAGAGAAAGGAGGGGAAAGCTATGAGAGATGGGATTGGTAGGGCTTGGTATGTGATTATATGTGAAAGGGAGGGATCAGCAATGACCCCCAAATTTCTAGTCAGGATGGTGGGAGTTTATATTGTTATTAACTGGAGAAGTTAATGAGCTCTGTAAGTTTGAAGCCAATAAATTCTTTCTTCATTTGGGGATATGTAGCCTTAGGTTGGAAAATGGAGATAGGTAGGTTAAGGATTAATGAATTATGATATAAGAATTATGGTCTTGAAATCATGGAAAGTGATGAGATGGTTCTAGAAGATAGAGTACAATAGGCCCTGCAGCCCCATGGTAAGGGAGTTGGATACTACGTGACCAAGAGCGATTCGAATCCAAGCCTGCTAGCTTGAAAAACATGCCAAGTATGTGTGCGTGACTGCCCCAAATCCTGACTGATGAATGAAGAAGGGATTGCAGTGTGACTACACCCCACTGGAGGTAGTCACACCTCCCTCTCGCTCTGTCTGTCTCTCTCTGGCCAGCACAAGTACAATCTCACAATAAGAAGAAGAGAGAGAGAAGAAAGAAAGAAAAAGAAAGATGAAAGAAAGAAAAAGGAAGGGAAAAAAGAAAGAAGAAAGAGTGAAAAAGAGGAAGAGAGACAGAAAAAAAGAAAGATAAATGAAGAAAGAAGAAAGAAAGGGGAAAAAAAGAGAAAGAAATAAAAAAGAAAGGAAAGAAAAGAAAAAGAAAGGAAGGGAGGAAGGAAGGAAGGAAGGAAGGAAGGAAGGAAGGAAGGAAGGAAGGAAAGAAGGAAGGAAAGAAGGAAGGAAGAGAAAGAAATCAAGAAGACAGAGTAGTGAGGACAGATGATGGCATAGCACCGAGGTGATGCTCTTCAAGGTTGATCCATGTGAGAAGGTTCTGAGTTCATGTCCATATACCTTCTCAGACTGTGGGTGCACGCTTGCCCATGATCTGGGGCTGGCTGAAGCTAGGACTACGTTGTATCATGAGGACCCCATTGGAGGTATTTGTCTCTCTTTTTGTTTCTCTTGATCATGGAAGAAATTTTGGTTGTCGGACAAGTCATGGTATATTTTTCAATGCAAAAAAGGAAGGCCCCCCAAGTGGATCCAGGCATGGCACACCTTGCAGAGGTAGGATTAGTCAGAGTTCTACAGGAGTGAACTCCTAAAGTCACGTGCATTCATTGCACTCACAACCCCTGCACTGGAGAGGCAGAGATCAGGGTGGCTGGGTTTATCAATACCAGCTGATGGAGTGGGCATGAGAGCAGCCAGGGCAGGCAGAGTGTGCTGAATGAGGAGAGATGACAGACTCAGAGACCACCCTGGCTGTGAAAGAAGTGCCACACCTACCTGGATAATTCTGCCAGTCATCAAAAACATCCATGTCGGGACCAGCAGATGGCATAGCAGTTACATCACTGGACTCGTACATGGCTGACCACAGTTCGAATCCCAGACCCAGTGGCTTGAAAATCATGCTGGGGGGACCAGCAGTTGGTGTAATAGCTATGTTGCTTGGACTGCCACGTAGTCAACCGCAGTTCGAGTCCTGGACCTAGGGGCTTAAACTCACTCCGGGTGCGTGTGCGTGCGTGCCCAAGATCACAAGAGGCAAATGGAGGAAAAGGGATTGCAGTGTGGCTATCCCCCCTGGGGGGTGATTTCTTGCTTTCTGTCTCTCTGTCTCTCTCTGTCTTTCTGGCGAGTGCATACTCCCTATAGCAAAAGCCTCTCAAAAAGCTATGAGAGATGGGATTGGTAGGGCTTGGTATGTGATTATATGTGAAAGGGAGGGATCAGCAATGACCCCCAAATTTCTAGTCAGGATGGTGGGAGTTTATATTGTTATTAACTGGAGAAGTTAATGAGCTCTGTAAGTTTGAAGCCAATAAATTCTTTCTTCATTTGGGGATATGTAGCCTTAGGTTGGAAAATGGAGATAGGTAGGTTAAGGATTAATGAATTATGATATAAGAATTATGGTCTTGAAATCATGGAAAGTGATGAGATGGTTCTAGAAGATAGAGTACAATAGGCCCTGCAGCCCCATGGTAAGGGAGTTGGATACTACGTGACCAAGAGCGATTCGAATCCAAGCCTGCTAGCTTGAAAAACATGCCAAGTATGTGTGCGTGACTGCCCCAAATCCTGACTGATGAATGAAGAAGGGATTGCAGTGTGACTACACCCCATTGGAGGTAGTCACACCTCCCTCTCGCTCTGTCTGTCTCTCTCTGGCCAGCACAAGTACAATCTGACAATAAAAGAAAGAGAGAGAGAAGAAAGAAAGAAAAAGAAAGATGAAAGAAAGAAAAAGGAAGGGAAAAAAGAAAGAAGAAAGAGTGAAAAAGAGGAAGAGAGACAGAAAAAAAGAAAGATAAATGAAGAAAGAAGAAAGAAAGGGGAAAAAAAGAGAAAGAAATAAAAAAGAAAGGAAAGAAAAGAAAAAGAAAGGAAGGGAGGAAGGAAGGAAGGAAGGAAGGAAGGAAGGAAGGAAAGAAGGAAGGAAAGAAGGAAGGAAGAGAAAGAAATCAAGAAGACAGAGTAGTGAGGACAGATGATGGCATAGCACCGAGGTGATGCTCTTCAAGGTTGATCCATGTGAGAAGGTTCTGAGTTCATGTCCATATACCTTCTCAGACTGTGGGTGCACGCTTGCCCATGATCTGGGGCTGGCTGAAGCTAGGACTACGTTGTATCATGAGGACCCCATTGGAGGTATTTGTCTCTCTTTTTGTTTCTCTTGATCATGGAAGAAATTTTGGTTGTCGGACAAGTCATGGTATATTTTTCAATGCAAAAAAGGAAGGCCCCCCAAGTGGATCCAGGCATGGCACACCTTGCAGAGGTAGGATTAGTCAGAGTTCTACAGGAGTGAACTCCTAAAGTCACGTGCATTCATTGCACTCACAACCCCTGCACTGGAGAGGCAGAGATCAGGGTGGCTGGGTTTATCAATACCAGCTGATGGAGTGGGCATGAGAGCAGCCAGGGCAGGCAGAGTGTGCTGAATGAGGAGAGATGACAGACTCAGAGACCACCCTGGCTGTGAAAGAAGTGCCACACCTACCTGGATAATTCTGCCAGTCATCAAAAACATCCATGTCGGGACCAGCAGATGGCATAGCAGTTACATCACTGGACTCGTACATGGCTGACCACAGTTCGAATCCCAGACCCAGTGGCTTGAAAATCATGCTGGGGGGACCAGCAGTTGGTGTAATAGCTATGTTGCTTGGACTGCCACGTAGTCAACCGCAGTTCGAGTCCTGGACCTAGGGGCTTAAACTCACTCCGGGTGCGTGTGCGTGCGTGCCCAAGATCACAAGAGGCAAATGGAGGAAAAGGGATTGCAGTGTGGCTATCCCCCCTGGGGGGTGATTTCTTGCTTTCTGTCTCTCTGTCTCTCTCTGTCTTTCTGACGAGTGCATACTCCCTATAGCAAAATCCTCTCAAAAAAAAAAAAAATCATGCTGGGCATGTGTGCGTGTGTGCCCAAGACCCCAGGAAGAGAATGGAGAAGGAATTGCAGCATGGCCATCCCCTCTGAGGAGTGATTTCACACTTTCTGTCTCTTTGTCTCTCCAGTGAATACATGTACCCTATAGCAAAAAATCTCTAAAAACAAAACAAAGCAAAACAAAAAAAACCCATGTCACTTATATTTAGAAGTCACTCAAAAATCTCCAATAAATTGGATCTAAAAATTTAATGAAGGCGAGTTTATAACTATGACATCTTCATCGGGGAGGTAAACAATTCTTTAAACATACCTATGATCACACGTGGTGTTGATTTCCATTTGTTTTCAGAGGTGAGCAAAGACATTTTACAAATATCCACAGTGTCTCTTTTGGAAACGGACGTAGTGGAAGTGCTGGTGCTTTTCTCACTTCCAGAAACAGGAAGAAGCAGGCTGGAAATATTTACTCTGCCTACATTACTACCACAAGGTAAAGAGCAAACAATGAACGGATTCTGTCCTGGGCTCAGAAGAATCACGGCCATAGTTTTTTCTTCTTCTGGTGAGGCCTTTTTTCCTTCTCTTAGCATGTGTGGAGGCGGAATGGCTACGTTTGTGCATATTTACAAAGTGGAACCAGTGTGGCTGCTAGACATGGGCTTTCCTCTAGACGTGATGACCCACCTGAATCTGCTTTGATAGCAGGGAAAAGAAACAGGATCAACTGAAACTTGAGTAGAATTGATTTGTCATTCATGATGTCTCTCATCTTGTAGCTTTAAGTACACGTAGTGAAATTCAGAGAGATTATAGTGTAGCTACCCTCACTGATAGATATTATAAAGAAAGCTCTCCAGAGAAAAAAGTCATGAGAAAATCGCCACTCTGTTTTAGATGGCAAATGTATTTGGGTAGCAATTTTGTAAATATATGACTACAGACGATAAGAAAGCTGAAAACCTCAAAGTACTTAAACATCTCTGTACTATCATAAGTCTCTTATAGTGATTTATATCTAAGTTCATTGATGAAATTAACCAAGTCCTCTAAAATGATTTTTTTTTCATTATCAATCAGATATGTCTAGTTGAGACTAGTGTTTTTGTTTGTTTAAGAGAGAGATTTTTGCTATAGGGCACAGACACTTGCCAGAGAGACAGGGAGACAGAAAGCGAGAAATCATCCCCCTTGGGGGATCGCCATGCCATAATCCCTTCTCCTCTATTCTCCTCTCAGGATCTTGGGCACGCATGCACACACGTCCGGCGTGAGTTTTGTCACCAGGTCTGGGACTGCAGTCGACTATGTGCAAGTCCAGCAATGCAACCATCATGCCATCTGCTGATCCCAAGACTAGTTGTTTTTAAACTACTTTTTCACTTAATAGCCTCTGCAGTATTACTTAACGTTTTTATTTTGCTTTATCTCATTGCTTATTTTCTTAATAATGACTTTAAAAATAAAATCAATATATAGTGCAAATGATCTCTCTCCTCCAATTCTTACAGTTTCTGCCTCGTTTGCCGATGAAAGAGGGAGGCTGAGAGATGAGTTGATTCACAAGTACCTGTATGAGCTGGAGCACACGTTGTCCTCCGCGGTCTTGGACTTTCAAAGTAACCAAATATTTGGCTTCTGCGATCAAGTGCCATACATCTGTAGCTATCCTCTTCCTGAAGAAGTATGCCAAATCTTAAACATGCTAACGTGTATCCCAGCCGCCAAAATGGACACTTTGCATTAATTAGACATGATCCCTTTGAAAGCTTTAATAGAAAAGTCACGTAACTAATACCTTTTTCATGTTAACATAGTCCCTGTGAGTTAAATATGTATTAGTGTTGCCCGTTAAGCCATCATAAAATACATTCGAACGACCTCACGCTTGCGCTGCATACATCGCACTTACCGCATAAGCACACAGAGAGCACAGTATTAGCTTAGTGCCTTCACGAAAACAATCGCGCAGCAGAAAATCTGCTCCACAGGTGCAAGAGGCGACAGGGCAGGTGATTTTCAATGAGCTTTGTGCCTGAGCCTTATGTAAAATTGCACAAAATAATTAAACTGCATTTCCGGCATTCTTCCATCACTCTGCCATCAAACTCCTCCTGTATTGTGTCAACTCCTGCTGCTCCTACTTGAGCCCTTGGGCCATTCAGTTAGTTTCTCATGGACGACTATTTTCTTGCCCCACGAATACCTAATTCCCTTCCTCTCTAAATGCTCAAACAAAGCCCTTCTCCTCTAGAGTAGCTGGTAGCAGACACACACATTCAGAGAGGAAGCAATGGTTCAGAGCAAGGGGAATTCAAGAAAGTTTCATCAAGGACATAATTTTTGAACTGGACTGTGAAGAACAGGTCCACATTAGACACAGAGAAATACTGGGTGCTGCTGTAGGAGGCTGGGGGAACAGGTGAGGATGGCATGGAGAAGGGCCTTCCAGATAAGAGGAAGGACGTGCAGAGGTGAGAATATTGGCTATTCTGGCTGTGAGCATAAGGCTATATGAAAATAATTAGTAAAAATAAAGTTTGCCGGGGTGGGCTGGGATCTTTAATGACAACTAAGACTGTCCTTAGTCGGCAGAAACTTGCCTCTCTTTAATTCACAAAGATGGAAAACATGGTGCAAACACAGGAGCCCACTTTATTTTGAGTCAGTGTATTTCCAAAGATGACTGTGGTGGATTTGACTGTATATGCATACACATCTGCAAGCTGGAAGGTGCTGCTCACCCATTTTTCTTTCTCTTTCATTAGCAAGAATTTCGAGGTGTTTATGTTCTTAAACCGCACCAAAAAGTGCAAAGCAAACATTATGGACCTGGCATGCTCTGTCTGTCTTCACACGGCTTGTGGCTCATAACAATCGCTAAATGTGGAATTCTGTGCATCCGAGATGTTTATACTTTGGTAAACTCCTTCATTTTTTTTTTTTAGAAAAATTACTGGGTATATATAGAAATCTCATGTGAGGAACAAAGCCCTTAGAAAAGGAATTGGAACTCTTTCTTAAGTAAATTGACTCCACTTTTCTTACCTCCTGTGGGTTTTTTTTTGAGCGTTTTTTGCTATAGGGCGTGTGCACTCGCCAGAAAGACAGAGAGACAGAAAGCGAGAAATCACCCCCCAGGGGGGATGGCCACACCTTAATCCCTTCTCCAC